CAAGATATTTGAAAGGTTCATTGCTCCACCTACACCCCATAATATCCGCAAAGAATTCTGGGTTCGGAACGTCACCCACGGTAAACATAATCGATTTGTCCATATTGATCCTCAGACCCGAAACAGCTTGGAAGCAAACAAGAGTGGCCATGATGCATAAGACTTGATCACAGGAAGCGTCGCAGAAGATGAGGGTGTCGTCGGCGAATAATAGATGTGAGACTTCCCCTGCACCCGTGATTTCATTCATGCAAAAACCTTTGATTTTCCCCGCTTCTCGTGCCTTGTTCATCATAAATGACAAAACATCCATAACAAGGACAAAGAGGCCCGGAGAGAGAGGGTCGCCTTGCCGGAGGCCCTTCTGGGGCTGAAAATAGCCTTTAGCTTCACCGTTAATGAGGGTAGAAATGACCGGAGAGCACATAGTTCCACGCATCCAACTTAGCCACTTAGGAGGAAAACCGAGCTTTGAAAGAACTTTGAAGAGGCAATCCCAACTAACATTATCAAAAGCCACCCCAAAAAGGAACGAACCATCCTTGCTTTCATCACCATTTTATGGGTAGGGCATGAGTGAAGTATATATGAATTTGGGGGTTTGTAGATAAGTTTGGCCGTTTGGGTTAGGGATGACAATTACTCACACATGGGTAATTTTACCCAAATCCAACTGAACCCATTGATTATGGGTTAGGGTATGGGTGAAGTATATAGGGTTTGGGGGTTGTAGACGGGCTTGGGTAGGATTTGGATTTTGCTTCCATTATCTAAATGAGTATGGGTTGGATATGGATACCCATTTGGTTGAGAGTTTTAACTACACATAGAAAAATTCAACCTATTTGTAAAATTTAAAAAGTTTAGGTATAAAAATGAAATACTAAAAAAATATAGATACTAAATGTAATTTTCCATCGATATTTTGAAGACTTATATGTAAAAAAATAATTTTAGGTACTAAATCTAAAGATCTACTAAGTTTAGGTACCGAACTGTAGTTTTCATATGCGTATGGGTAAAACCCAAATCCATGAATCAAAAACCCAACCCAAATAAATGGGTATGGGTACAAACCCATCAAAATTTACCTATATACCATATATTTGTTCTTCCTCAATTTTTCTAGAGAAAATTCTAACAACATGACTTAAGATATACGTATTTGTTATGGACCAAAACTCATGTTGTATGAGTTTTTCAACTTATGTTTTTCATTGTTTTAAGCCTGTGTTTGTAATTTTTGCTTTCCAATTTGAATTAAGTTTTTTGGCTCTTCCATTTAGGATTTAAGAGAAGGCACCTATAAAAGTCTTTTTCACTCCTTTACAATCTGTACTTTCCTCAATATATTGAAACTGATATCTCATTCTTGTAAACAAACTAATGCACACCGTGTTAATATATCACATACAATCATACATCTCATCAATAGCCGTACAGGAGTTACAGCTCCTGACACGACCATACATAAGTATGAAGTATCCCGACTTAATTTCACTAAACTGCTCATAGTAATTACTAATTACCACGACCTCCATAGATTGAAGGAGTGTTCATCGTCTCCTCCCCAAGGAACTGAACCCATTAATTACTAGGCCGTAAGAGGAGGCAGTCCGTGGTAAATAATTGGTGCAGTAAAAAAAGAAACAGGCAAAAGTGGGAGAGGCCCCCCACCAAAACACCAAAGGCACTCATTAAAAGTACAAACACCAGCAACCGCCGTTCATGCATTTTAACCTCTTGCAGAAAAGTGCCAGGAATCTCTCCACCTCTGCCAGCCTACAATGATCACAGCAAGCCTCGGAAGAATCTGAGTTAAAAAAAAAAAACAGTCGTATTGAAAAGTATTGCGATAGAGTATTTTATACTGTCTGACTGGTACAGTGGAGTTTTGTGAACATTGGGGAAAAGAAATAGTAAAGAAGAATTAACCTTCGAACTTTAACCAACCATAACTGTTTTGGGGACACGGCTGATGGTGTCATATATACCATGAGCTTTCCCATGAAAACCCACTAATGGTACTGTTGGTGCTGTCCATCTTTACAGCCTGAAAAGACCATTTAACAAACCCTGCTTGCTATTAATACTGAAGCATGTGTGGGGCACAACAGTAACATGGACTGTATGTGGGAACGGGAGGGAGGGAATAATGTTGAAAGTAAGGTGGAAAATGGGTGGGTTGGGTGGGTTTCAGTGTTAAACAGATCCATCCGATTACTAACGAGTTCGCGTACATACGATCCACAACTCATGTACACACTACTTGAGTTGGGTGGGTGACGGATGGGTGCAGTTGGGTCATGGGTTAATCCGTAAGCGCAATTTTTAACCTATAATTAGACAATTTGACTAACATTTATAATAAATTCTCCGCAAATTAGTAAGACTTCATCAATTTATACACTTCTCATCAATTTGTCAACTATGGAGATGTCTAGTGCTTGTGTAAAATTTTTTTATTACTTCATCGACCAATTATGTTGAGAAAGTTCACATTTTTATTTAGATACATACAACTAACAATTTATAATTTGCATATTAATATCTAATGGAAATTACATACATAACATAATGACCAATACTAGTAGACCAAAAATTTTATTTATTTTCCACATTAAGAAGTCAATGGCCAGTGCATAGTGCATGTTAAGAAATACGACAACTATTTGTTAGTATAAATAAGAAACAACTATTTTCCATGTAAAGATGGGGTGCAAGTCATTCGAGTGACCCACAACCCACCCGATAAGTGCAGGTAGGAGATTTATTGATTCCCAATCCACCCACATCAATCACCTATTCACTATAAATTAAATTATTTACGAGTGGGTCCGTATCAAACCGCGAATTACTCACCCGCATTGTCCACCCCCTAGTTGAAAGAGCAACCAGCAAGATGACAACTGCAGTTATCAAATTAAACAACATTCATACACTTTGCTTGTGTGGGTATGGGCTTCTTCTTGGGTCATCAAATCATTGTTATGAGACCAGCCCACAAAAAAAAAAAAAAAAAGGGATCGGTTAAGTTTTGGTTCGAAAAGCTAGCACTCATTTGGGCTCCGACGTGAAACCACAATAAGGAAGGCCCAAACTCTCTATTAAAAGCCCACGATTTACATTAGACAAACCCCGTCACGTTTCCCGCTAAAATAACAAATTTCAAATCGTGGTTCTGGAAGCCTTCCGGGCCAGAACGATCCAACAGAGGACCCGATAAACCACGAAAAACCCGACCATAATCCCCACATTCTCCCACCTTCCATCCCTCTCCAGCCCTCTGCTCCTCAACACGTCACTCCCCGTCAAGACACACACCGCCGTCCCCGGTCCGCCGCCGCCCTGCCACCGGAAACACTCCTTCCTCCGGCTCCAGTACTCGTTCGTCAGCAGCGAGTCCAGCGGGTACCGGTACAGCGACACGTAGTACATAAACATCCAGTACTTTGGGATCCTGTCCTTGGGGATGAAGTAGCCGGAGAACAGAAAAAACGCCCCCAGCACGGTGCAGATCAGCGAGTTCCCGGCGATGAAATTGGGGGAAACCGCGGAGAGAAACATGACCAGCGAGCTGGCCATCAGGACGATCAGCCAGACGGTGAAGACGAAGAATCCGAACGCGGCGATCGAAGGATTCAGCCCGACGATCCAGTAGACCGGTGCGGAGAAGATGATCGCTACGGCGAGGAGGAAGGGGAGGAAGACGATCGTGTTGGCGATTAGGTAGCTGGAGATTCTGTACGCGCCGCGGGAGGCTTCCTTCATCAGCACGCGCCGCTCCTGGAGGTAGATCGGGAGGGCTTCTACGGTGGAGGAGAGGAGGAAGCTGAGGCTGAATGCGAAAAGCCCCAATCGCTCCGCCAGTCCGCTGCCGTCGGAGTTTCGCAGCTTCACGTACACGCTGCCCAATCCCAGCCCTCCGACCAGCGCCTGTAGCGTCCTCGCCGCGAAGAGCTGTTTCGTTCTGTATATCACTATCCAGAATCTGGAGCAGAGGTAAGCGATCTCTTCAAAATCGATTGATTTACGGTGACGGCGGCGGTTTTTCCCCGCAGCCGCCGCGGGCCAAATCCAATGCTGATTCCTCTCCGTTCCAGTCGGAATCGAATGGTCGTCGTTGTTGTCGTCGCCCGATTTCGCCAATTCCTCGAGTGTGCCAACGATTTCCATGGCGAATTCGAGCGCGTTGAGCTGATCGGGGATCGAAAACCCTAGATCCCCAATTTTATCCTCTAGGGTTTCCAAGCTGCCGTGATGGACGACGGAGCCGCGAGACAGGACGAGGAAATTGGGGATGAACTGCAAAATTCTGTAACTCGGCTGGTGAATCGAGACAATCACAGTCCGCCGCTTCGCCCTAGCAATGGCGGAGAGATGTTCGATCACCTGAAGCGCCGACGAGCTGTCGAGCCCCGATGTCGGCTCGTCGAGGAGGAGAATCGGCGGGTCACAGATCAAATCGACCCCAATCGAAACTCGCTTCCTCTCTCCGCCGGAAATTCCTCTGTTGGATTCGTCGCCGACGTAGCTCTCGGCCACGTGGAGGAGGCCGAGCTCCCGCAGCAGGCCTTCCACCCGCTCTTCCTTCTCCTTGACGGTGAAGTCCTTGAGATGGAATTTCGCGCTGTACATTAGGGTTTCTCTGACGGTGAGCAGAGGCAGGAGGTTATCGTCCTGCGCGACGAACCCGCATATCTTCTTGAGCTGGGAAGGGGAGGAGATTCTCCTCCCGTTGATGGAGATGGCATTGGTGTCGAATTGGTGGTTCCGAACTCTCCCGGCGATGACTCTGAGGAGGGTGGATTTCCCCGTGCCGCTGGGTCCGACGATGGCGAGGATTTGGGCGGCGTCGGCGGTGAAGGAGACGGAGTTGAGGATGGTGATTGGCTTGGGGGTTTGGAGGAAGGAGAAGAGGAAGGTGGAGGATGGTTTGGGTGAAATGGTGAAGGAGAGGTTGGTGACGGCGAGGTGGGATTGTTGCGGCGGTGGAGGCAGGGGAGGGGAAGAGAGGTAGAAGGAGGAGGAGGAGAGGCTGCAGGGAGTGGTGGATTCCGCTGGTGAGTCGGAGGTTGTGGAGAAGAGGATGGCGGCGTCTTCCGTGGCCGCGGCCTGGTCGGGTGGCGGCGGCGGCCGCCGCGGCTGGGGATGGAAGCAGGATGGCATTGTTGGATTGATGAAGAGATTGGTTTGGGTGGAGAAGAGTGTATGTATGTAGGCGTGGTTTCGGTTTTAGGTGGAAGAACAGGTGAGTTTGGTGAACGGAGAATGTTGACTAACTGCTTGTTACTGTCTTTCTTTTGTGTTGCTTGTGAGTTCTCTTCTCAATCAGCTCCTTTCCATGGCAGATTGGCGGTCATTTTTTGGCAGTAAGCTCAGGTGGCTTGAGGAAGAGGTTACTGTGCTATTTATCTGCTGCTGCTGCTGTTGTCTGCATTTCCGAAGCGCTTGACTTGCATTGTTGGTCACCTAACAGCCAAGGTAGGTTTGACTACGCTAGCGTCTGTCCTTTCTTTGTATTGATCCATTTGGATCCAGTAGGCCCGTCATCCCAGCAGCAGCCAGATCCAACAGTTGAGTAGCTCATGAGGAAAACCGGCCCGGCCCATTAGCAGCAGGAGACAAAAACCTGATAGCCGTCGAATTGAGGAAAGAGATAGAGAGAGAGAGAGGGTTATCCGCAGTGACGGCCACACACCAAACTCCTTCACTGTCCTCCCGCCACGTGTGCTGCAGAAGCTTCGTATTTCTCCAGATCAGGCGGGCCCCACAGTCCACCACCTCACTCCTCCTCCTCGGTATTTATCCCCTCCTCGAACCGCGCGACCTGAGCTTCTCTCTATAAATTAAAACAAAATTTTATTATAAAAAATCCCCTGTTTGTCTGTATCATCGTCTCGCCCTCCTCTGCCTCCATTGAAGAAGAAAGGGAAGAAAGGAAGAAAAATGGATCACGCGGCGGATGCACTGCGGACGGACTTGATGACGATAACGAGGTACGTGCTGAACGAGCAGTCGAAGCACCCAGAGTCCCGCGGCGACTTCACCATCCTCCTCAGTCACATTGTTCTCGGCTGCAAATTCGTCTGCTCCTCCGTCAACAAGGTCTCTCTCTCTCTCCCTCTGTTCATAGATGTTCCTACTGAATTGAAATTCAAACAATCCGAATGGATGGATGGATTCGTTTGCCAATTTTTCCCTTCTGCTAATTCGTGTGCGTGTTGGTATTTTTGGTACGGTAACTGAAGTTAATCTGAGGAGGGGGGGGATCTGCCGTAATCCGTTTTTTTGCTATCTTCTTTCTTAGCTGCTAAATATTTTTCCTTCTTACCTTATCTGATTACTAGAGCTTGAAGGTAATCTACTCATTACGTTTCGTCAATCCATTTTCAAACAAAAACCATAAATTGTCAAACAAAAATATGGTGACTAGTTGCTGCGTCACCTTAAAACTCGGAGAGATATTGGGGAGACTTTATACAAAAAATTTGTTATTAATCGTTTCTATGATATATATATATGTGCAGGCTGGTCTGGCGAAATTGATTGGGCTTGCAGGGGAGACCAATGTTCAGGCAAGTTTGACTCTCTGGGCCCAAAAATGTTTTTTTTTTTTTTTTTTTTGCATCCTTAGGAGCTTTATACGCAGGATATGCTCATGGGCCAGATGACCCCAGAATCAGAATCACATTCTCACTCCAATTTCTTTCTTTTTTTTCTGCATTATGTTGAGAACATATTCTTGTGACAAACAGAGAAAGAAGAACCCATCACCTGGGTAGTTTATTCGGTTGTGATTCATTGCTGTGTTTATCAACCTTGAATCACCTAACAATAATTATTGTGGCTGTGGAGGATATTTATGTTAATTTAATTATCATGATTAACATGTAGGGTGAAGAGCAGAAGAAACTGGATGTGCTCTCCAATGACGTCTTCGTCAAAGCATTAGTCAGCAGTGGCCGCACTGTAAGTAACACCCTTTCCTCTTCCCTTTTCTCGCTCTCACTCCCAAACCAAAATACATGTCACTACTGCAGTACTTTCTGACTGTGACCATCATGATATTTAGTGCATTCTTGTGTCTGAGGAAGATGAAGAAGCGACCTTTGTCGAGCCAGCGTTGCGTGGCAGGTACTGTGTCGTCTTCGATCCCTTGGATGGATCCTCCAACATCGACTGTGGTGTCTCGATTGGAACGGTATAATGACAGGAACTCAAATTGAATTCACACTATATAAACTAGTTTTCAGTGTTTGGCTGGCTCATGCTTTGTTGTTGTTTTTAAGTATTTGTAATGTTTTTGGTTTCTGTGTAGATTTTTGGGATTTACATGGTGAAAGATTTTACTGAGCCTACCCTAGACCAAGCGTTGCAGCCAGGGAAGAACATGGTTGCTGCTGGTTACTGCATGTATGGAAGCTCCTGCACGGTACAATATTATAAGCCCATGTAATCTGAATTAGTACCTGTCTTCGTGTCGAAAAATTCGGATCTTTCCTTTATAGCTTCCTCCAAATGCGGATTACAATGGATTTTCATTGTGGTGTTGCAGTTGGTGCTGAGCACAGGGAGTGGAGTGAATGGGTTCACTCTTGATCCATCCCTTGGGGAGTTCATACTCACTCACCCTGATATTAAGGTTACTGCACTTTTCTAAATTGCTGTTGACTTCCAAATCAACTTATAGGTTTCTTTCTTTTGAGTTGTTCTATGGTGGGAACTTCATTCTTGCGCAGATTCCAAAGAAGGGCAAGATCTACTCGGTGAATGAAGGGAATGCCAAGAATTGGGATGGTCCTACAGCCAAGTAATCAACTCCATTCCAGACATAGGTTATTGTCTAATGAACTTGTTTCTTGTATGCCTTACTTTGACAATTTTGTGGCTGATCAACTCTTTAAGGTATGTGGAAAACTGCAAGTTCCCTAAAGAGGGTTCCTCACCGAAGTCCCTTCGATACATTGGAAGGTAGGTAGCTATGGGGGAAAATCTGTTTGCCTCCCAATCTAGTCATTTTGCCTCCATAAGACCTTTCGCCTTTGACATCCAACAGTATTGCATTTTATGAACTTGTTTGTAATGCAGCATGGTTGCTGATGTGCACCGCACGTTGCTTTATGGAGGCATATTCCTGTACCCAGCTGACAAGAAAAGTCCCAGTGGCAAACTTCGGTAAGCGCTTTCGATTTGTTATTTGCATTTAGTACTCTGTTATATCTAGAAGTAGCAAGCTTCATAGTTTAACTCAAACTGATGATGTTATGGTTTCCATTAGTGTCTTGTACGAAGTCTTCCCAATGTCATTCCTGATGGAGCAAGCTGGAGGTCAGGCTTTCACCGGCAAGGAAAGGGTAAGAGCCTTCTTTCCTACCCGTTGTCGAGTGATTGAAGCTTCGTCGTATCGTTGTTGATCTCGTGATTCGAATCTATATATGGTAAAATCAGGCGCTAGACTTGGTCCCGAAGAAGATACACGAGCGATCTCCGATATTCCTGGGGAGCTACGACGATGTGGAGGAGATCAAAGCGCTCTATGCTGCTGAGGCAAAGAACTAATGGATGGAGGAGGGACTGTTTTTTTCTGCAGCATAGCTGTTGTGTCTAATGGTGGACTTTGCATTCATAGTATCTCGAAGAAGTTTCAAACAAATTGTCTATTCTCCAATACAGTGATAATACACTTCTTTCTGGTTATGTACGATATATACATATACCAATCCCGTATTCTGAACAAGCTATGATATAAATGTTCGTGGAAGTGTGTTGTTGTGGTCTTGTGATTTGCAATAAGCACAGCACGGTGGAAATTGGGATTTGGTCGTGCGTAACAAAAAAGACTCTAAGCCCAATAAGAAAACCCATGATAGCATTTTACAGACCCATAACTGAGCACAACATTCAACCCACAATAACAACATTTTGCCGACTCATAACTGCAGCCCAATTGACAAAATGATAACCTTTCACGCTATTTTGAGCTTCTTACTGTAATTTAATCTGATTGATTATTATTATTCTTCTTTACATTTCTGGTGTTCTGACTTCTGAGTATTAGCTATGAGATGTTCCCAAGTTCCGATGAATGAGAGATGGTTCAGAAAAGAGAGCAAGTTCCTGGTATGAAGCCTGACTGCACTGCTTCTTATGACACAATTGGAGTTTGACAATCACCACCCCGACCCCTTTAATAGGAATGGCAATGGGGCATGTCCGGGCGGGTTTCTTGGTTCCCAGACCCGCCCCGTGGCAGGTCGGGTAATTGATCACGGGTCGCGGGTCGGGACAGGTTGACCCAATGAGTATGCAATTTATATGAAAAACATTAGAAATATTCAGTATTTTTATTAGAAGACTAAGAAAACAAACAATATTATGACAATTGTAGTTAAATTATTGGAGAAGTTGAGATTTTCACTAATTTACAACTTTATTATAGCTAAAATATGATGCAATAAAAGAAAATTATAAGTAATTTGACTAAGATTACATGTGATTTAGACAAGAACGGGTCGAGAATGGGACGGGTCAGGGCAGGTCGGGTCGATGAGACTACACATACCCGCCCCGCCTACGGATCAGGTCAAAATTGCCATCCCTACCCTTTAATTTAACGAGACTAGCATATTGAGTCAAGTGGCGCTGGCTGTGGCTGGCTTGCTGACAGAACAGAAAGTCAGAAACTGCCGTACCATGTGCAGGGCCGACTAATGGGATGTGTCATTTATCGTAGGTTTATTTAATTTCATATTTTACGGTGAATTTGTGGTGTATGATTGATTGATTAAGATTGTGATGAAACATTTAAATATGTTTTAATATTAATGAGTCTTTCTTCAATATTTTCACGTTTATATAAACAAGGTATGTACATTCATCTTTAAAGTTATGTTTGTGTTCTGGGAAAAACTATGTGTTATAAAACGATGGTGATTGAAAATAATCTATTGCATAATACAAAAAGTTAAAGAGTTCATATATAATTTTGTTTCAAATTATGTTTTACATAATGTTACGACCATTTTCATTTGAGTATACTTAAACAAATTGAACCACAACTGAAGAGAGACTTCAGGATTCATTCGACGGCCCTGACCATGTGATTGGACACCAATTTTCTTTAGTGGCGATTTGCCAAAGATTTCTTTGATAAGTTTGATGATGAGCACAGCAGCAGCAGGAAGCTAGCTAGCTCACATTTCTGTGTTTGCCGTTCGTTCCCCCGGTCCCTTCCTTTTCAAACCCTAGACAATTTTTCATACACCACTTTTGATTTTGAACAAATCGGAAAGGGTATCTTGATACTCATAGTTCTATGACTCTTCGAGTTTAGGTTGACTCTTAGAGAAAAAATCTTCGAAACATTGATTTATTCATTACAAAATGGAGAAACAAATTCTAGCAAGATAAATGTAGTTAAATTATTCAAAAAAAATTGAATTCTCGCCAATTTATAATTTTATTATAACTAAACATCATGTTATTAAAGTAAAGTACTATGAAATTTGAGTAAAACTACATATAATTTGGGGGAAAAAACATATCGAGAATGAGCCGGTACAAGACGTTGTTAGGTCGAGGATAGTACACATGATCGCCCCGCCCCACCTATAGGGTGAGTACTATCCGCTCCAAAACAGACCAAACAGATTGGGTAGCACGGGTTAGGTGAAATTGCCATTCCTACTTTTACCTCAAGTTTTCACTCCATCCGAACATCCTAAAACTCTATCACGCGATCCCGTTCACGATTCATCGGCTGAATTGGCAGGTTTTTAGCAAGTATTTACATCGTTCTCATTTGTTTGATACAAGAATTAAGATGGTTTGAATGATTATGGTAATGCTAAAACATCATATACCAAAATTATGCATCACAGCTATAATAGAGGAAGAGCGTTTCTTATTATGTTCCGAGTCCGTTCATTCAATGCGACAAACCAAATTCAGTGGTTTCCTAGTTTCTCCACCCACGTTCCCACTTGTGTTCCTTTCCCATCAATATTTAGTCGTCTCTTCCCTGTTGTTTTGACCAATATATGCCAACAAGCATGATGGGCACAGTTCAGGCCACCCATTATATGTAAAATAGTCATCAACGTACCAAAATGCAATTCTCATGCCATCCAATCCATGACCCATATGGCCGCCCCTCTACGGCTCTATTAGATGTGTTTACTTGGACCGGTTCGTTTTAGAAAAAAATCCCAAGGATCGAAAATAAGACAATTTGATCAACTATTCTAATGTTCTTGCAGATAATTACGAGATTTACGATCGAGTACTAGGATTAGAACTCATGTATAGGAAGATATGAAAAGAGTTGAGATGCAACAATTTGCATCTCAAGGTAAATCAACTTTTAATTAACATAAAGTTAACAACGTGTATTGTATGTCCATCAAACACCAGCCTTAACTTCAGTCAAGAGTGTTAATTGACAAAACACACCATAGAAAGCATCCTCTGTTCTTTTTTACGACAGAGAACCTTTACTCGTGGTCGTTAGTTTGGACTAGCTGGAAGAATGACAGTTTAAGGCCAAGGGGAGGGTTTGGATGCACTATAGGACCGATGCCCATGACAACCCTGAGTGCAATGGGAGTAGGAACAGGCTTTTCATGCTACAACTCAACCACTGGAAGTACGATCACACTTTGTGTGCTACATCTCAGTCATCCACCTTAGGACTATGAAACATCTCTATCTCAAAATTGCTACATAAAGGGGGATCAATGTTATCGCTGGGTACACACGACCTTGTGTGTATCCTGAATTACCAACTTAGCTATCATTTTATAGACAAGAATAAACTGCAAAAATCTAAAATTGTGACTTTTCTGTTGTTGGAGGATTAGTATCACTTTGATCTTTTACCTTAATTACAATCTTAACTACATCTTTCATGTGTGTTTCTTCTTCACGGAATAGGTTAAGGTGACAACCTCTTAATGGGTTGTCAGACTTCTACATTGTGGTTTTTCTTCTTTTTTTTTTCCTTTTTTTTTAAATTGACGCTCATCTTCTTATAAATTATAATAAAAATGGTTTGTTATATCCTGTTTCCTAGGATAGTTGTCGTATAATGGACCAAGTTGACATAATCGTATATTGATTATTGAGTATGTATCCATCAACGTATTGAGTTGTTCTGTCACTAATGCGAAGGTTTGGATGGTTTTTGAATAATGTATTATGGAATAGAACAAGAGACAGATAAGATAATGGTTCATAAATCGTCTAATATAACTGTTATATTTCTTATAACACAAGAACAACCTACATTATGATTATCCTTAAGGAAGAAAATTTAGAGTTTGAACATTAAAAACCCAATGAAATAGTTTATCAAAAACTCATTTTGATAGAGATGAGTAGGGTTGGGGTTGTGAAATAGAATTGGGAATTGAGAAAGAATTAGGGATTAGAGGAAGAATTAGGGATTGGAAGAAGAATTGGGGAAGAACAGAGAAAAGAGGGATTTAGGGATTTTGATATTATTATTGCTTAACCGCAAATGAATGTGCAGAAACCTATTTATGAGTTTCAGAACTAACACAGGAGTAATAAGACAAACAAACCAAACCCGGCCCAGTCGGCCAACCCAACCCGACCCCCCTACCCGAGCGGGTCTCCATCATCCCCTTCCCCATCAGAAATGACCTTGTCCTCAAGGTCAAATGTCGGAAAACGCTGTCGTAGCTCGGCAGTCTCCTCCCAGGTAGCATCCTCACGCGTCATGTGTTTCCACAGAACCAAACTCTCCTCAATCAGCCGCCCGCCCTTCCGAACCCACCTGGTATCCACAACCTGCACAGGGGTAAGTACAAGATCACCATCGGCAGAGACTGGTGGCGCCGTCGTCTCCACCCGATCCGCGGCTCCTCTGTAGCGCTTCAGCAGCGACACATGGAAGGTAGGGTGAATACGCGCATCTGCCGGTAACTGCAACCTGTAGGCCACTGGATTAATCTTCTGCAGCACCTCATAGGGACCAAAGTATCGGGCAGCCAGCTTCTGGTAGGCTCGCCGGAAAACGGAAGCCTGTCTGTAGGGGTGAAGTCGAAGCAGAACCCAGTCCCCCACCTCAAACTCCTCCTCCCGCCTGCCTGCATCAGCCAACTGCTTCATTTTGTTATTAGCAGCAGCCAGATTGGCCTTGAGCTGCTCCAATGCCTCATCCCGCGTCCCAAGCCAGCGGTCCACCGCATCCACCTGACTGGCGCCCGGCTGGTAGCGAACCAATGCAGGTGGTGGTCGCCCGTACAGCGCCTCAAACGGGGTCGTCTGAATCGCTCTATGATATGTGGAGTTATACCATAGCTCGGCCCAGGGTAACAGAGCGAACCACCGCCGCGGCTGCTGGTGAGCGAAACAACGCAGGTACTGCTCTAAATATCGGTTGACCACCTCCGTCTGGCCATCTGTCTGCGGGTGATATGCAGAGCTCATGCGCAAAGTCGTCTGCGCCAAGGCGAATACCTCCTGCCAGAAACGGCTCAAGAAAACCGAATCCCGGTCACTGACAATCGACCGCGGAAACCCGTGATGGCGTACAACTCCCATCACAAACTGCTCTGCAACTGCCCTGGCCGTATACGGATGCGCCAATGCCATGAAATGAGCATACTTCGTCAACCTGTCCACAACAACAAACAACACTGTCTTACCACCGGAGGGAGGAAGCCCGACAATGAAGTCCATGCTGATGTCCTCCCACACCCGCTCCGGCACCGGTAATGGCTGTAATAGACCGGCCGGTCGAAGATGGGAGGCCTTAACCCGCTGGCAGGTGTCACAAGAGCCGACATAGTCCTTCACATCCTGAGCCATCTGAGGCCAATAAAACTGTGCCCGAATCCGCCTCAGGGTCCGCTCCACCCCAGAATGTCCGCCAAAAAGTGAATCGTGGTACTCCTTAAGCACAGTCGTCACCAGGGAAGAGCCCCGGGGAAGGACAAGGCGCCCTCGGAAGAACACCAGCCCCTGGCGAAACGAGTACTGGCCCGGAGTCTCTCCGACTGCGGTATCCCGGCATCCCCGCAAATATGCATCCGTCTCTGTCAGAGCTCGTAGGGCATCCCAAAACTGGGGTACTGGTCCCGTCACCGCTGCTAATACCTCGCCTCCCGGCCTACGCGAGAGCCCATCGGCCACCACGTTGGAGGGCCCCGGTCGATAGTGTATCTCATAATCATAGCCCAGGAGCTTCGCGACCCACTTGTGCTGATCAGGAGTGGAAACGCGCTGCTCCAACAGATTCCTCAGGCTCTGATGGTCGGTGTAGATATGAAATTTCTGACCCAGAAGGTACGGTCTCCACATCTGCACAGCAGTGATGATAGCCTGCATCTCCTTCTGGTATGTAGACCACGCCTCCTTGGAGGGAGCTAGGGTCTTACTCATGAAGGCCACCGGATGGCGGTCCTGTGATAACACCACCCCGATTCCCCGACCAGACGCATCAGCCTCAATCACAAAGGTCCGGGAAAAATCCGGCATAGCTAGAGTCGGAGTGGAGGTCATGGCCTGCTTCAGCCGCTGGAAGGCCGTCTCCGCCTCTGGGGTCCATGCAAACCCGCCCTTCTTCAACAGATTAGTCAAGGGCCGGGCGATCATGCTGTACCCCTGCACGAACTTCCGGTAATACCCTGTCAAGCCCAAGAAACCCCTCAGCTCTGTGACCGTGGTCGGGGTAGGCCACTCGACCATAGCCTGTATCTTCGACTGGTCCACCTGCACTCCCTGAGGCGTGACAATGTGGCCCAAGTACTCGACCTTCTGCACCCCGAACGCACACTTCGAGGCCTTGAGGTAGTACTGGTGATGCCTCAACACCTCAAAGACTGCCTGCAAATGCTGCAAATGCGCTTCCCAAGATGGGCTGTAAACCAGAATGTCATCAAAAAATACCAGAACATACCGGCGGAGTAGTGGTCTGAAGATGTCATTCATAGCCGCCTGAAAAGTCGAGGGAGCATTGCACAAGCCGAAGGGCATAACCAAGTACTCATAATGGCCGTTATGAGTCCTGAAAGCGGTCTTGTGCGCATCCTCCTCCTGCATCCGAATCTGATGATACCCGGCCCGCAAATCGAGCTTAGTGAAATAGGCTGAGCCATGGAGCTCGTCGAGCATGTCATCTACGGTGGGAATCGGGAACCGATCCTTCACCGTCGCAGCATTGAGGGCCCTGTAATCTGTGCAGAACCGCCAAGTCCCATCCTTTTTCTTGACCAGGAGGACCGGCGAAGAAAAAGGACTAGTGCTAGGGCGAATCAACCCGGTCGCTAGCATCTCCTCCACCTGGCGCTCGATCTCTTCCTTTTGCGAGTGTCCATACCGATAGGGTCGGACATTCACAGCCTCAACACCATCCTTGAGCTGAATCCGGTGATCAACCTGCCGGTGGGGCGGCAGTGTGGTAGGTGCCTGGAAGAGCTCCGGAAATGCGTCCAGTACCCGCTGCAGATCAGGGGGCAGCTCCTTCGCATCGGTCGCCACCGTGGGCCAGCAGAGGACAGCCAGCTCAGCCTCGCCCTCCGCCATGCACTCATGGAGCGAAATAGGCCCTAGGGCCGTCGTGAGCCCTTGCAGACTCCACTCCTTATCTCTCCACTTGAACCGCATAGTCAGATGGCGCCAATCAGTAGTCACCGGTCCCAATTCCTGCAACCACGGAACACCCAAGATCAAGTCAAACCCGCGGATGGGTAGAACATACATATCGGCAGTGACGGGCAGCCCTTGAATCTCGAAAGGCAGCTGCCGATACACTGCCCTGCACCGCATTGGGGCGCCATTGGCAACCTTGACCACCATAGACTCCACCTCGCTCGGCTTTTGAGGAATCTGCTTAGCCAGTTCCTCGCTGATGAAATTAAGAGTCGCGCCACTGTCCACCAACGTCAGAGCAGTAGTGCCAGCTATCTCAGCTCGGAAACGGAGTGTTCCCGGCGTAGGTAGACCAGTCACAGAGTGGAGCGAGATTCCCGGAGACGCCGGCGTCATCCTGTCACCCCCGCCGTCCTGGTGCGCGCTCGGCGGCGAGCAGCCCCCGCCGCGAAGCCCACCCGCGCGCGGCTCGCGCCGCGGCTCTCCCGTCGCCGCCGTCTCGCCGGGCGCTGCCGCCCCCTCCCCGACCGCCTGCCCTTCGCGCGGCGGTGTCACCCGCGCCAGCCCGCGCGGTTCACCCGCAGCCGCCGCGGGGCAGCCCTCCTCTCGCGCCTCCTCTTCCCGATCGGCGCAGAGAGCGTCGATCCGTTGCAGCAGCCGCGTCCATGAGGGATCAGAGAGCCTAGCAGAGCTCAACCAGGCTCTGATACCAATTGATAGAGATGAGTAGGGTTGGGGTTGTGAAATAGAATTGGGAATTGAGAAAGAATTAGGGATTAGAGGAAGAATTAGGGATTGGAAGAAGAATTGGGGAAGAACAGAGAAAAGAGGGATTTAGGGATTTTGATATTATTATTGCTTAACCGCAAATGAATGTGCAGAAACCTATTTATGAGTTTCAGAACTAACACAGGAGTAATAAGACAAACAAACCAAACCCGGCCCAGTCGGCCAACCCAACCCGACCCCCCTACCCGAGCGGGTCTCCATCACATTTACATGCTCGATCGCCACAAGCAAGTAATGAGACAGTTTAAATTTCTGTAAACTTGTAATGAACTCAAAGGACATGTTCAACTTCACTTAATTTAAAGCATACTTTTACCAAACATATACTTCAAAAGGAAAAAGGAAGAAGAAAAAAACAAATTGACATGGCGTTACACGCTAGTTGGTGAGCTTTGTTTAATCCTTGTTAATGGATGGTGGTAGAATGGATTTAAAGCTGGGCTGAAGATGTTTCTAGAGAGAGAAAACAGAGGAAGAGACAGACAGAGGAGCCTTGTGGTAAAGTCATACACAGATAGAGAGAGAGAGAGAGATCTGACAAAGGGCAAAAAAGGAGAGGAAGATCGAGGTGGGTGTTGGCCGCCTATCTATTGTTTTCTTCGCTTGCTCGTTGTTCCTCTCTTTTTCTCTCTGCTTTTGCTTTTCTTCCTTCTTTTACTTTTGGGCTAGATCTCGTTTCTTTCGGCTCCCCTCTTCCCCCCTGGATTTCTGCTTGTTTCTCAAGAATTTCCTCCCAGTTTTTCCGGGGTCTTGGATAAACCTTGCCGTTGCTGGCGGCAGCTCATTGTTCTCTTCTGGATTTTGGTTCACTCTGGGTTAGATCTCTTTTCCCTCGAAAGATTTCCTTGTTCCCCTGTTTGGTTATTGAAAGTCGACTCATTTCCATGTTTGATTTCTGCGTCTATGATGCCGATTGTGATGTCAAGCACCAAGCTTTGTGGCCATCGTTGAAGTCAACTCTTCTAGCCTGTCTTTGTTCTGGGTCTTGCTGGTCAAATTTGCTGGTTTTGGTGGTACTTGGCTTTTCTGGGTTTGGATTTTGAATACCGTTTCTCTTTTTAAGCACTGGGTTGGTTTCCATTTCAGGCTTTGGCGCATTGAGTAGGCTAAAGTATGGAACTTTGAATTTCTTGAATGGATTCTTGAATCTGGGTTTGGTTCAATCCTGACCTATAGAAATGCTATTGTATATATGGATTCCTGAATGCTTTTGGATTTCTAGTTCCAGACATCCGGGTGATCCAAGCTGAGTTAGACTCTCATGTCATTTAGGGTTTTGTTTGCAGAATGATCTATTGATCATCTGGACATATTTTTTCGAACTAGCTAGCTGAGGTTTTACCATTTTGGAATCTAAAGTGGATAATTGTTTGTATACTCCACCCATGTTCAGTGTTGCTTTTTCATTTGATTGCACATTCTTACTTACTTTGAATGTAGATGCACTTAGTATGAAGTTTTGATTCGAAAACTTAGTTCCAACTGGGTTTCCAAACTCTGCCAAAAGACGTGTTTGATAAAGTTAGGTATTTTAAATCCTTTAGTGTGTCCATGTGAGCCTTTTGTCTGATGGGAATCTTCTTTTTCTTGCTTTCTGCTTTCTCCCTCATTTGTCACTTTTCCCTCTTTCTTTCTTGCTTGTTAAGCATACAAACATAAATCTGAAACTTGTTTTTGTTGATTCACAGTTCTGGTCAATTTGTCCTGGGGCATGATCGCTGATCAAACCGAGTGTAAATCTACTTTGAGAAACTGAGTCAAGGAATTGCCTGAGTTGGGAACTTGGAAATTGCCGGTCTTAGTGTGGTATGTCGTTCCGTAGTATAGTTCGTGATGTGAGGGACGGGTTTGGGAGCTTATCGAGGCGGAGTTTCGATGTAAGGCTGCCGGGTCATCATCACCGAGGGAAATCCCATGGTTCAGTTACGGATGACTCACATGACCAGCCGGCAGTTGTCATCCAGAGCAGCCGTTGGGCTAGTCTGCCGCCAGAGTTGTTGCGTGATGTCATCAAGAGGTTGGAAGCAAGCGAGGGCACTTGGCCTGCTCGTAAGCACGTTGTGGCATGTGCTGCTGTTTGCAGGGCGTGGCGAGAAATGTGTAAAGAAATTGTTAGGAATCCCGAGTACTCTGGGAAGATCACTTTCCCAGTTTCCTTGAAACTGGTAAGGAGATAATTTTCAACATGTTGGGCTTATTTTTACATGTATGTGACTGCTTTCTAAGTTAGCTACTTCATTACTTAACAACAAGCTCATAGTATACACACTTGTTGAGTTGTTGTACTTGTTAATTGCAGCCAGGGCATAGGGATGGGCCTATCCAGTGTTTCATTAAGAGAGACAAGTCCAAGTTAACTTACCATCTTTTCCTTTGCCTTAGCCCTGGTAAGCTTCTTTGGTTGTTAACTTCCTTTCCTTTTTTCGATCTTGTATTACCATTTGAATCTTGTAGAGAATCTTCTTCATCTATTATTCCTTGTGTCCTCTAACATCTGATTGCGGTACAATGATAGTAGAGAATCTTTTTCATTATCATGGTATGACGTGCCTTGAGTTGTGTGTTTTGCACAGCTCCATCATTCCGGTGATGTGCCATAATTAATGGTAGTATATTGCTTTAGGGCTTATCCGGTAGCTGCTTTCCTAGCAAGATTAACTGTCTTTTGATGGATGCATATGCATTCACCTAGCTCCGCCCCAAAAAAGTAAAAAAGAAACTACATTTCAAGAGCTTTGGTATAGTGTCATTCTGCCCGTTGTGTATTTTCTTCTCAGATGATTGGGGGGTCTTAAGTGCTGCTCTGCTCTTTATGTTATCTCCCTTTTCTTCTCACTTCTAGTTTGTTTTCTTATATAACCCCTCCGAAAAGTTACGTTAAGCAATTTTCCATTAGCTTGTAGGCATTTTGAGCTCGCTGTTAGCTCTCCATCTCTCAACAAAAATTATCACTCTGCAACTCCCATGCTTCTTCAGTAGCTAGCTCCCTTACTGAAGCTCCATTCTATTCTGTGTGAGGTTTTTGGTCTGCCATAATCAAATTTACATTTGCTGTTCTTTTCAGCTTTGCTTGTTGAGAATGGCAAGTTTCTTCTCTCTGCTAAACGTACCAGAAGAACTACTTGCACTGAGTACATCATCTCCATGGACGCCGATAACATATCAAGATCAAGTGGAACATATATTGGAAAGCTAAGGTAAAGTTCTTGTCATTATGCACTGGCTCTTAATTTAGTGAAAGAAAGTAACATTACTTGAATTTGTGATAGTTCATCGATGGTGGCTTGAGGAATATATTATTATCATATCACACCAATGCAGGTTTTTGGTCCCTTATCAAATGCTTTGTATCTTTCTTTCCAGGTCAAATTTCCTAGGCACAAGGTTCATTATCTACGACACTCAGCCACCCTACAATAACGCTCAAATCTCACCACCAGGTCGAAGCAGAAGATTCTACTCCAAGAAAGTCTCTCCTAAGGTCCCTACAGGAAGCTACAACATCGCGCAGATCTCCTATGAGCTCAACGTGCTTGGCACCAGGGGGCCGCGCAGGATGCACTGCACCATGCACTCAATCCCCACTTCATCACTCGAACCTGGCGGTTCAGTCCCCGGTCAACCTGAGATCCTCCTCCCTCGGTCCCTCGAGGATTCGTTCAGAAGCGTCTCGTTGTCGTCCGAGTTCAGCAGCTCGAGGTTCTTCGATGTTGCTGCGGGGCCACCACGAGGCGGGGGAGACGATGACGTGGAAGGGGAAGGGAAGGACAACTGCCCGCTGATCCTGCGGAACAAGGCTCCCAGGTGGCACGAGCAGTTGCAGTGCTGGTGTCTGAACTTCCGTGGCAGAGTCACGGTGGCATCAGTGAAGAATTTCCAGCTGATAGCGGCGAATCAGCCAGCAGCTGGCGCGCCTACTCCTTCGCAGCCGCCTGCACAGTCAGATCATGATAAGATCATTCTGCAGTTTGGTAAGGTTGGGAAGGATATGTTCACCATGGATTATCGGTATCCGCTGTCTGCTTTCCAAGCTTTCGCCATTTGCTTGAGCAGCTTCGATACTAAGCTGGCTTGTGAATAGAGAAGGGGTACAGAAATTGGGAAGAAAACTTAAAAGGGAGGGTTAGGAGCTATGTCTGTTGTTGTTGTTGTTGTTGTTGTTGGTAGTGTACTAGTGTATTTATGTTAATCCGAATGTGGTTAGGATTCCACGAGATGTGGGTTGTTGTTGTTGCAAGAAAGGGAAAAGCTGTACAATTTCAGTAGGCAAGAAGTGGGAGATGTCTCCCCTTTTCGATCAAGTTTTCTTTTCTGAAGTTTGCATTGTAATGCCTTCCATGAAAATTGTTTGTTTTGAATCCCCTCAAGTTCAAGGGATGCTTCTGTAACTTTTGGATCAATCAGATGATGAAGGTGACTGATGGCCATTACTGTTGCCTTTACCGCTTTTTCCTTTTTACACAAAATCCTCTCTGATGTGTTATTTATATATTCCCTTTTGGCTGATTCCGAAAACAAGAAGTTGTTCAGCTGTTGTTTTCTATTCCCTTTTCCTGTCTTAATCTCTTGCCCAACTTCAAATCTGGAATGCTATTTAACGCCCTAAATATTTGAATTTTATCGCCCTAAACTACCCAAATAGACACTTTTGCCCTCAACTAAACCTAAACTCATCCACCCAAGTCCAACCACCAACCCATCCCATTCCCCTTCCCCTTCCCTGTATCGTCTCCCATCTCCAACACCCTTCTACCCCGCCACCAGCCACCCTCCCCGTCATGGCGCCACCTGCAACGAGGCTTCCCTTCCCACCAGCCACTTGTCCGCCCTTCCCTTCCCCTCCCATCCCACGACGCCGTCAGCCACGAGACTCTCCCCGTCGGAGGAGGAAGAAGAAGCCCACCGCCAACCACGAGACTCACTGTCAGTAGCATCCCAGAAGAAGCCGCGCCGTCATCGTCATTCCTCCTAGCCAGATCTGTGGTGAAAGTTGCTGCTTCGCTTTTTTTTTTTTTATTTCTGATGCCGGCAACGAGGCGGGCTGAAAACCCGTCGCCGGCAGGCTGGAGACGTGGTGTCGACCTGTCTCAGCCCGCCGGCGACGGGTTTTCAACCCGCCTCGTTGCTTGTCGGGCAGGTAGGGTTTACGCGGAGGTCGGAGGAGAAGCGGGTAGGTTACCCACCTGGAGCCAGGGCGAGGCAGGTAGGGTATCCCGCCCAGCCACGGGTCCAGCCGGGTTTCCAACCCGCCCCTACTTGGTCCAGACATATATCCGATCTGTCCCCCTCTAGTTCGGGTAGAAATATGACCGCCCCGCTCTGGTTCGCTTGTTGGTCAGACCGGTCTCTTAAAAAAATTATGTGAATATACATGTAATTTACAAATTAGAATTTGTGATCTATGGTTTAGTGTTTGACTGTTTGTGATTCAGATATTCAAAATAAAAAAAATTGTGTGATTTATTTGTATGCAAAAGAATTTGTGATTAGAACTACGATTACATGAGTTATTATTGATTAGTATGTGAATTATTAATATGTTTAATTACCATAAATAGTTTGTTGTACTTATTAATTATTATGTTTAAAAATGTTTTCATTAATTTATGATTGAATCATAAATAAAACTAATGATAATTGTAAATCCACGTAGTCGGTCTCGTATGGGTATGAAAATAACTATTCCAAATTTAAAATGCTTACAAAATAATCACATTCCAATTCAACAATAATTTATGGAATCTTAGTTCTAATCAAAGCTTTGGCATTATTAGTGGGTGTACATGCATGTGAGGTATCATTCATGTACTAATTACTAACCTTTATGTTAATTTGACCAATCCTATTACAACGTCATCTTAGAGGCCAAATCATTCGAACCTTCACTAACAACAATCGTTTACAACATCGAAAGACTCATGTTAGTCTGAAGAAATTCCCTGTTTTAACACCCAAGGCACTCGAAATCTTGATTAAAGATTTGACACTATTCATGCTTTCTTCGCTCATTGACTTCAAATCAAGAAACGGTTGAATCCAGTGCGTTCAGAGATATTTCAAGGAACCAGTGAAAATTTTGGCCATTTCCCATGTTGCTAGCTCGAGAAATCAAGAAAATACAATTTTAACGATATTTTATAATAACGACAAATTTTATGATTAGTGATTATGCTTAAGCATGTTCACGAATAATAGACATAATCATAAATACTAAAGCAAACTTTTTCTCTCTTGCACCTTCTATGTACCCGTCCTAAACCCTTCTCCCCCAAACCATATATACTGTGGATTTTCTCCTCCAGTATTAATTTTGGCAATCTCCTTTGTTGTTGTAGAAGGTTCACATGGGTATCATAAACAACATCACTTATAAACAATGACGTGTAATCGACTTTATCACCCTCATCCAAATCCTCCCTACAAAAATATACAATGTAAAAACATTTAGTCGTGCAACAATTATGTTACGATAATTAAATTATAAAAAACAACAAATAAATCGAGTACTTACCGAATCAGCCATAATAATTTCCTTGTTGGTTAATGATGGTGGTACAAGATTTTTATCCTCCTTCCAAATAAACACAATACACAACGAGTGTAACATAATTAGTATAATTTATGTGAATTTTCATTAAAAAATGTCCATAACATCACAAAATTTGTTCGAGCATGTTCAAAACAAGACTAGACCAACGGACGGACATGTCGAAAACATGACAGAACCTTGGGTCGAGCATGTTGAAAACGTGTCCCGACCGCAGGGCGAACATGTTGAAAACCCGCTTCGCCACGGTTCCAAACATGCTGCGCGGATGCCTGACGGGTGGGAGGGGCAGGTTGGCAGCACGTCCGCTCCATGGCCGAGACAGATTTTCAACATGTTTGGACAGCTGTCGAGGCAGGTTTTCAACATGCTCGGCCCACTTTTCTGGGGAAAAAAAATGAAAACGAAATCAAACCTTCAATCCGAGCGCCTGCATGCTATGGCGACTGGAAAATAATGATGCCTCTACCTCCGACGAACTCGCCGGAATCCGACGAAAATTTACCAATGTAGAAGATTGTGATTGATTTTTGTGGTGTTAGTGTTTTGTTTTAGTTTTTGGGCTGATATTTGTGTTTTTTTTTTCCGTAAAGAAAAAGTTCAAATGGGTTGGGTTCTTAACTCTAGGATAGTTGAACCATAAAATTAAATGAAGGACATTTATGTAATTGCCTATGTTTTAGGGCGATAGAATTTAAATATTTAGGGCGACGAATAGGAACACTCCTTCAAATCCATATATGAAAAAGATGTGGGGGGAAACGAAACCAGATTAGCTCAATGGCATGTTCATTTGTCTAGGCTTTTTTTTTTGGTAGAAACAGGGCGCAGAGTGCGCCCAAACTTTTATTGCATGCTAACTAGCCGGGGGGTTTCAATTCCCACCCGGTCAAAAAACAGCCAATACAGCAGAGAAGTACAAGGTCTAGCCATTACATGAACTCCAATCGTCTCCGAATGTCCTAAAGACGCTAGGTGATTCGCTGCAAAGTTCGCCTCGCGGAAGATGTGGTCGATTCGAACCGTCCAGTCTCGTTGCAGTCTCCTCCTAATTTCACTGATCAGAGTGAAGTGCATATGTCTCTCGGTCGCATTCTCGATCAGGGTCTTGGCAGTCACTGAGTCTGTTTGTAGAAGAACTTTCCTGGCTCCTTGTTCCCAAGCAAGATCCAACCCATACACAATACCAGCCAGCTCCGCACGAGTAATAGAACCCCCCCCCCCCCCAAGGTTCGCAGTGAAAGCTCTGATGAAACGGCCATCACTCCCCCGCATGATGCCGCCACAGGATGTGCTCTCCGGAGAGTGGATGACTGAGCCATCAGTGTTGATACAGACCCAATCTTGCGCCGGTGGTTGCCAGCCAACTAGGCGCTGCTCTCGGGTGCCCCCATTCCCGAAAACCGTTCTCTCCTGTTCAAGTGCTTTGGTAATGTCGTCCCGGAGCTGTTTTGTACTGAACTGGATTTGTGTATGGGTCTTCAACTTGTCCTGGAACACGAAGTCATTCCGGTTCTTCCATAACAGCCAACAGGTTCCTGCAAACAAGGTAGCATCAATGGTATTACCCCGCCATGATAAATAAAAAAGGCTCCATCTCTGACCGTCGGTCTCAAAGAATCTGGAATCTGGTTCGTCTTCGAGCAGGTCCGCCCATGTCGAGCGAGCAAAGGGGCAGTCCCTTACTATGTGTAGAGTCGTCTCCGGCCCGCCCCCGCATATCTTGCAGTCCGTGTGATTGGTGAGGCGTCGCCGTGCCCTCTCTGCGTTTGTAAGAAGTCGTCCATGATTCATCAGCCACAAGAAAGCCCGCACCCGTTGCAGCGTAGGGGCCTTCCATACCGATCGCCAGGTTTGCTGTCCCAGGTTCGGCTCGACAGGGTCTCCCGTGAGCTCGTACGCCGATCGTAGGGTGAACTCTCCATTGGGGTTAAATCGCCAGGCTCGAGTGTCATCCATTTCCTCCGCCGGCACCGGATGCAACGTAATCTGCGAAACAATATCATGAGGTAAGTAGTAAAGCAGAAAGTCGGAGTTCCACTTACCATTGAGAACAAAATCGATGACAGGCATATCGAGGAGCTCCGGCGGCAGGTTGGGCGCGTGCTCTTTGAGGATGGTATGCTCGTCCAGCCAGCGGTCGCTCCAAAATTTTGCTGTCCGTCCATTGCGGACATTCCAGCAGGTAGCTTCCTCTATAAGATGAGCCACTCGAGTAACCCCTCTCCACAGGTTAGAGATTCTGCCTTGGGTACGAAAATGGCGCCCCTCCCCCGTCTGCCTCGAGTACTTGCCCAGGAGAACTCTCGCCCACAATTCATGTGGCTTGGTCAGCATCCTCCAGGCTAACTTGAGCATATAAGCTTCATTAGTTCTGGTGGAGTCCCGGAGCCCCAATCCCCCCTCTTCCTTGGGTTTACAAAGCGTTTCCCAATCAATGAGATGGATCTTCCGGCCTTGTTCTGTACTACCCCATATGAAAGCGCGAATTTTTTTGTCGATGTATTCCCGCACACTCGCCGGCAACCAAGTCGTCTGCATCAAGTAGGCCGGCAGAGAAGCCAGAACCGACTGCGCCAAAGTGATTCGGCCAGCTAGGGACAGGGTAGAGGCCTTCCAGCCGGCCAACCTTCTATCAATCCGATCAATGAGCTCCAGGTAGGTAGCTTTCGAGACGCGATCATGAATTACCGGCACCCCCAAGTACCTTCCCAAGTTCGTGGTCACTGGGATCTGGAGTTCTTGGCTTAAACTCTGCTGGCAATCCGCAGTAGTATTTGGCGAGAAGAATACCCGGGATTTCGGCCTACTGACCTGCTGGCCCGAAGAGCCTCCAAACTTTTCGAAGCATGCATTAATTTCTTGCACCTGTGACCTTGTCGCCTCGCCAAACAGAATCAGGTCGTCCGCGAAGAACAAATGCGAGAGGGCCGGACCATCCTGTGACAGCTTGATTGGCTTCCACCTACCCGCCCGAACTGCCTCGGCGATGATGTGCCCCAGTCTCTCCATACACAAGGTGAAAATGTACGGGGAGAGAGGGAAGCCCTGTCGTAAACCCCTGGATGGTTGGAAGCTCTCCGTGAGGCCCCCGTTCCACTGTATTTGCATTGACGCCGAAGTTATGCAGGCCATAGTCAACTCCACGAATTTATCTGGGGCCCCTGCCGCAACTAAAGTATCCCTTACAAATCCCCACCTAATTCTATCGTACGCCTTTGCTAAGTCCACCTTTAGGACCATCCATCCTCGCCTGCCCTTCCTGGCTCTCATCGAGTGGATTACCTCCTGAAGGATGCAAATATTATCCGTGATGTGGCGCCCCAGAACGAAACTAGACTGGGTTTCATGGACCAGCTCCGGCATAAGGTTCTTCAACCTCTCGGCCAGGCACTTCGTGATTGCCTTGTATGCCACATTACAAAGACTGATCGGCCGGAACTGATCAATGGTGATCGGCTGCTTTATCTTCGGGATCAGCACGAGAACTGTGGAGTTTATTTCCTTGACTTTGTCCGGCGTATTCCAGCAGTCGGTAATGAAACCTGCTAAAGAGGGTCCCACCGTCGCCCAGCATCTTTGGAAGAATATCGGGCTTAGCCCATCCTTGCCCGGGGCCTTTAAAGGTCCCATCGCTTTCACCGCTGCATAGATTTCCTCCAAGCTTGGCTCACGATCAAGCTACTGCCAGCGAGATCCCTCCAGGGTCGGGAACCCTTCCAGGAGGGCTAGCAGGTCTCCTCCTTCGTCCTGGTAAAGACTGCTAAAGAATACTCGCGCCATCTCCAGTAGGGCGGACTGGTCTTCTACCCAATTTCCCCCCTCATCCTTAAGCATAGTAACCCGATTCCTAGCTCTCCGCCTTAGAGTTCTGGTGTGAAAATACGCCGTGTTCTTGTCCCCTGAGTGTATCCATTCAAGCCGGGATTTTTGACACCACAGGAGCTCTTCTTGAAACAAAACCAGCTCTAATTCCTCCTGACACTGTCGAAGCTGGGCCTCATTCCCCCGTCCACCCCCAGCCTGCTCGAGGTGCTCTAGTCTTCGGAGCAGCTTGTCCTTGCGCCTAGTGATGTGCCCAAAGACATTTCTATTCCACAAAAGTGCCTCTTGCGCAAAAGCTGTAGCCGATTCTGTAAATGAGTCTCCCCTGGCCCAAGCCTCTTCCGCCATGTCCTGGAAACCCTCGTGGGTTAGCCATGCCGCAAGGAAACGGAATGGCTTGGGTCCTGCCGGCGGGTGAGGCGCTGCCAAGGATACCAGGATCGGCCGATGATCAGATTTTTTCATGCGGGCCAGATGTCTCACTACTGTGTCCGGGAACTTCGTCACCCACTCATTATTTGCCAGACCCCTATCCAGTCTTTCTCTGAGCCCCGTTCTGAACCAGGTGTAGGCTGGGCCTTCGAACCCCAGGTCAATCAGCTCGGTGTCTTGTACAACCTCTTGGAAATCTCTGATTCTAGCTGCATCAAACGGGGCTCCTCCTAGCTTCTCCGACGGGCTCAGGATGGAGTTGAAGTCTCCCACCAGTAGCCAAGGTTGCACCATGTTCACCGCCAGCTGTCTTAAAAAGCCCCAAAGATCCCGACGTTGCATGGGAGCCGGACTGCCATAAATTGCGGATAGCTGCCATTCAACGTCCTGAGGTGATAGTCCCTGTACTTGCACATGTAGACATTGTTGGTTAGCGTCGATTCTAGAGATATTTAGTTCACTCGAATTCCAAAGCAGCCAAATTCCTCTAGAAAAACCCACAGCATCGATAATTAATTCCTTATCATAGCCCATTCTACGAATGACGTTAGTAGCTCGGTCCCCACTAATTCTGGGTTCCACAATGATCACTATATGAGGTTTAGACTTCCTACGATACTCTCGAAAAGCACGTAAAAACTCTTTACCCCCCGCACCCCTACAATTCCAACAGAATATTTTATAATCCATAAAAAAGGTTGGAGAAGGAAGGATACTCCCTTAGGTTTGTGCGGCCGACGATGTGTTCACATCGATCTGCATTCCCGTGGTACTGGTCGCTGTAGTCTCGTTGATGCCCAGAGCTGGCTTATGCCCGATGTCTGGGCTAGTATCTGGCGGTCGTCCCTGTAGTTCATCCGTAGCGGATGTCCCCGACTCCTTTATTCGACCATTCCCCCCTTCCTGTTGTGGTCGGGGCGCTTCAAAACCTACATGAGTCAGGTGGTCGGCCCTCTGTCCTGACTTCTGTTGAACAGTCCGGGTGTCCATCCCTTTTCCCGACCCTGCATTTGTATTAGACTTCGTTGAATTCGTGCTAAGAGTCTCCCTAGGAGACTGGCTCACTTTTTCCTTCTGCGCTAGTGATGACTGTTTCTGGCCCTTATTCTTGCTCTTTTTAAGTTCCACTTGACTGTGGGCTCGGTTGCTGGTCTCACTAGGAATGTCCACGTGCTCGGACCCCGTTAGTGCTTCATCTTCTTCCTCTAGGGCAGCAAAACGTGAACCCCCGACGTGCTGGTGTGCTCCCTGACTCGTTTTGGATCCCTTGGGGATCCCAGTCACTCCTTGGTCCTTCTTCTGGGTCCGGGGTTTGCGTTTGGCGATCATCCAATCCCCGTAGAGGGGTTCATTTCGGTTTACCACTGGTACGGGTTCTTGTACTGTTTGCTCCGCTTCCATTGGTGCCTGTGATTTGGCGCACGAGCAGCCCCATTTTTCAGCATAAGTACCACAGTTTAAGCAGATATTCTCCAGCCCTTCGTACTGGATAAAATACTTTTTCCCTTTTATAGAGAATTTTGATAGTAGGGGTCTGGTAAGATCCACTTGGACACAAACTCGGGCGTAATCGCTTCTGGCTGCTGTTCGAGTGGCTTCATCAATGCGGATTGGTTTTCCAATACGACGCCCAATTTTCATCACAGCCTCCTGGTGGAAGAACTGAATTGGAATATCTAGAAGTCTCGCCCAAACTAACGTTGATGAGATCTCGTGGTTATAGGGGTCGAAGTTCTTATCCCACATGTGCACAGAAAGATAGTTCGGGCCTATCATCCACGGTCCGTTCGTGACTGCTCTTTCATAGGCTACTACAAATGGTCCATGAGGCACAATGGGATTTTCTTTTTTTTCTTCTTCTTCTTCTTTTGCTTTTTAGGAATACGCTAGTGATATAAAATTGAATTATTGGGGGGAAAAAATCACAACTTTAGGGTGCTAACCAGTGTTATTAAAGCCGAGCCCTCCAAAAAAACTCACAATTTTAGGGTGCTAACGGCTAATACTAGCTCAAACCAATAAAAAACATTTCGTTTTGATGACTTTTTTGTTTAATTTTGAAGGG